GCTTCAACCCGAGCCCTCAGGTCCATACAGCAGAACCCTCTAGAACACGTGTCAGACACAAGGCCCGCGGAGCATTTTTATGTGGCCCGCGAGATAAATATCAAAAATATATTAAAACTGGCCCGCTGACCGATTTTACAGCAAAGACTTCAACTCCCATGATGCTTTGTGGCGTTAGCGCGGAGCCGACACGCCCCCTCCTTTGGGTGTTTTCCAGCACCTGCTGCCGGTGTCTGCAGCTCCGCTGTCTCGGACAAACTAAACACTCCTCTCACTCAGCGCCGAGTTCACTCAGCTATTTTCTGACGTTGAAGCCCAGAAACGGAGATTCTAGCCGCTCAGTAATATGTTCACGACTGAAAGAGAAAGTTTTCCAACTAACGTCCAGACAGAGCTGATATAACTCCAGCGAGCAGCGACACGCTCAAACCAGCACGGCTCTGTGGCTGCTGTCGTGTTTCCTCCACGACACACACCAACGTGGTCAAGCTGCTCAGACATGTTCATCAGCACAAACCTATGTGAGCACCTGTTGTCATCTAATGTTGTCATTATTATGATGAAGATGAACAAAACAACAGGAGTCTCCTCCTCAGCTCAGATCAGCCCCATGCAGGTATCTGGCTGGAACAGGTGAGCATCACAGTAAACCAGTGGAGCAAACTGAGCTTTAAATATGTTGGTTTTATGCTCTTTTTCTGCTCCAAAACATGAAAGTTAACAGGTGAGATGTTGCATTTTCGTTTAAGATAAAATGATATTTTATTTTGTTGTTGGCCCGTGAGAAAAGATTTAACCTACAGTAAACAGGAAGTGGAAAGGCTGCAGACAGATGAATAGAATAGAAAATCCCTTTATTGTTCCTCAGTGGGGACAGCTAGACGTCACAGCAGCGATGACGCGTATTACAGGAGAAAAAAAGGAGAATAAAAAATAAGAAAAATGAATAAACAAGAAAACATAAATCCTGAATAGATTTTAAAAATGCTGATTATACCACAAGTAATGAACACCACTGATGCCTTTTATTTAAAACCGACTTGCTTGTGTGTAATTTGGTTATTCCACATTCAGTGTTAATGCAGAAATATGTTTGTTTCCAAATGTAAAGGTTCAAAATTGCATATATGTTTAAGAAAATGTGCAAATTTGCCATCACTTTTTCAAAAAATATTAAGTTTGGCCCTCGACTCCGTCCCAGAGTTTCATTTCGGCCCCGTGTGAGTTTGAGTTTGACACCCCTGCTCTAGAAGTTCCAAAGATCAGATACTAAAGTCGAGGTGATCGCTCCTTCCAGGCTGTTGCACCCCGACTTTGGAATGATCTTATGCAGTATTGACAGTCTGGAAATAAAAAAAATAAAAAATAAAAATAAAAAATAAACAGCAAAAGACCCTTTTATTTAAACCTGCTTTTACCTAAATCTCTTATTATCTTTAACTCAAATTTGTCATCTTTCATTTGTTTTATGTATTATATAATTTTATGACCTTGGTTCTCTGATTTTAATGTATTTCTGTTTTAAGATTATTATGATTTTATGTATTTATGTTTTGCTTTGTTTTGATAGGTGAAGCACTTTGTGATTTTCTGTCTGTGATGAGTGCTGTACAAAAGATTTAATTACTTACCTACTTACTTACTTACTTACTTGTACCAGTGGGCATGTCCCATTTCAAGATTTCTTCAGGAAATGCTCTTCAGGCTTTTCCTTTATTTCTACTTTTATGGTCTTTAGTAGGGATGAGCTGGATACGCGTTTCAGACAAGTGTCCGGTACGGATAAAGCATTTTTGACGAATACGAGCATGACACGAGTAAACCTCGTAAATATCTGTAATCGTGCTGAAGGTAAATCCTCATTGGGTAACTGACTGTCTTCACGGTCTGTGATTGGCCAGTCACATAGAGCGCCCGCCCCTCCCTACACACAAAACTCTCTAGCCGGCTGCGAGCGTAGTCCGTCCGGCTCATCCACGCACACACACAGACAGTAACGGATCTCGCTGTGATTGCTTCACTGTTGCTCACGTTTCTTCAGTTTTCCAATGGTTTTCTTCAGCTCGTCTCTATTTCGGTTGAATATTTAAAGTAACTTTTTTTCGTAACTTACATGGTGCATTTGACAAGACAGAGCTGACGTGCTGTGTCTCTACCTCCGCTCCGGTCGGGTTTTTTTTTTTATTTAACTCCCTCTCTCTCCCTCTCTATCTCATACACACACACACACACACACACACACACACACACACACACACACACACACACACACACACACACACACACACCTCAATCAATATTGTTTTGTTTAAAGTTGTGTCTGGTTTTAGCATTTCATATTTCCTAGTTCCTACTGCATGAGTTCAGATGTATTAATCCATGCACTTAAATATTAATGTTCTGATTTTATTGAAACACTTGTTTTGTAATAGTTCCTTTACTATTGTGATCAAAAATATTTAATCTCAATTCTGAGGCTGCTCTGTAAATAGTTTTCAAATAAACCACACACATATCAACTTCTGATCAATCCATATCAATTTCAGACTTAAAATAATATATTGATGTAAACCACACCCACTTCCGGTTAAACCGCGCCCACTTCTGTGTTATGCCACGCCCATTCCGAGTACAAATACAGATAATTTAGTTGGTTGAACAGATACAGATACAGATAGTGGTATACTCGTTCATCCCTAGTCTTATAAATAAAGTTTATTGCAAAATTTAAAACTCTTGTCAAGTTCCTATTGTTACTATATGTTATGACAAAAATGGTTTAATCCCATAAGGTAATATCAGCGTTGTAGCAGGGTGTTTTTTTAACACTCATCTGTATGAGTGTGACAATCAGAGGACTGAGCAAATAACCTGTAAAATAATTAAAGCCATCATGCTAGATCAGGAGCCTTTCTCTGTGGTAGATGACACCGGAATCGCTGCCAAGGGTAATAAATAATTACATATAAAAATAAATTCTTATTCCAATAGTAAACACAGCTCGAATTCGAATTGGAGGCCGTTCCTCCCCATCACACCTCTCCAGGTCTCACTGTCGTTGCCCACGTGAGCGTTAAAGTCCCCCAACAGAACAAGGGAGTCACAGGAAGGAGCGCTCTCCAGCATCTCCTCCAAGGACTCCAAAAAGGGTAGGTAGTCTGCACTGTAGGTTGGTGCATAAGCACAGACAACAGTCAGGACCCGGCCTGCTACACGTAGGCGGAGGGAGTCTGCCCTCTTGTTCACTGTCTTAAACCCCAACATACAGGCACCAAGATGAGGGGCAACTAGTATGCCCACCCCTGCTGGGCGCCTCTCATTGTGTCCAGCCCCTCTCAAGGAAACTGGTTCCGGAGCCAGAGCCATGTGTCAAGGTGAGTCCAACTATAGTTGGATTCTCTCAACCTCACACACCAACTCAGGTTCCTTCCCCACCAGAGAGGTGACATTCCATGTACCGAGAGCCTGCTTCTAAAGCAGAGGATCAGACCGCCAACGTCCCCACCGTTGGCCACCACCCATCACATTGCACCCGACCCCTTTTGCCTCTCCCACAATTGGTGAGCCTATGGGAAAAAGGACCCATGTTTTCTCTTTGGGCTGTGCCTGGCTGGGCTCCATGGGTGAAAGCCGAGCCACCAGGTGCTCGCCGATGTGCCTCACCTTCAGGCCTGGCTCCAGAGGGAAGCCCTGGTGACCTGTGTCCGGGCGAGGAAATATTGTTTTCATTTGAGGTAATCATCATAAGTGGTCTTTGGGCTGCACCCCTCACCTAAGACCTATTTGCAATGGGCGACCCTACCAGAGACATAACACCTCAGACAATTAGGCTCCTAGGTCCATTGGGACTCAAACCCCTCCATATGGTAAGGTGACAGTCCAGGGAGGATCTGTAAACCAAAATTGATTACTATCGGTCACAATAATTGTGACTTTCCCTGAATGACCCAACGAAAATGAAAATGTCAAGTATCTGAATGTCTGAATGTTTTCAAGACAAAGCCACACCTTTCTCTGACATGACCTTCAAACGTGGCAGCTGTTAACAATGGCCCTCACAAATGTGAGCAAAAGCGTTACACACAGGTGGTCTTGCAAGGTCATGGAATCATGGGAGACTTACAACCTCATGTGTGATTTAGGAAGTTTACACATCAGTAATGAGTGAAGAGGTAAATGTGTAAAACAACAACGTTCATGAATGGTGAAGGTTTCATAACCGTTTGTAACAAATCAGTAAATGCTTTTTATCCTCGCGGGCTCCCGTTGAAGGAAACATGACATCTAATATGGCGTCAGCCACAGAAGACCCGCTCCCATGTATTTTAGACCCCATTTTTATAGTTATATGTTACAAAGCTGCCAATATTTTTCATAACTGAGCATCATTTCATTCTTTTTCAACAACATTTAGAAGGATATTTCTAGTAATGAATGGTAAAAACTACACATTGTCTCTTTAAAGCTGAGTGTCAAGCAGGGAGCCATTGGGTGTGTGTGTGTGTGTGTGTGTGTGTGTGTGTGTATAAAAAAGCCTTTTTTAAATAATGTTTTATTTGTCAACTGTTTACGTTAGTTTGATAATCTAGAACATTCAAGAGTGACAAAAATACAATAAATAAATAACTCAGAAAAGGAGCAAACACATTTTCAGTCAGCTGTACCTCCAGAGTACTTTCAAACATTATAGTGTTACTTTTCTCTTTAAAGAGCAAGTCACCCCCTACAAGAAACTTACTTCACTCCCACTTCATGTTTGAAAAATGCAACAAATGCTGTTGCTTGGCAGACCGAGAGGGCGGAGCCACTAACAAATACACACACACAGGCTCACAATGGCATTGTGACATCATAATGTTCAAGATGACATCATAGCATACCTCTTAGCCAATAGCGGTGGCAGATTTAAATTCAAATACAGTGCAGAAATTTTCCCTGACGATGGCGCAACACTGACAGTTTTAGGCAGAATATTTGAATTTTAACAGAAATTGCACTGAACTGCCAAATTATTGACTACACGTGTCTGTAGCACGATTAGACACTCCTTTATATAGTTTATCAGCAAAAAAAAAATGTGATTTGGGGGTGACTTGCTCTTTAATTACTCTTACATGAACCTTTACAGTATGTTGGCATCAGATGAGCCAGACTTCAAAACTTCAAGGGTAACAATAACTTTAATAGCATTTCTAAACCAGGGATAAAAAAAAGCATAGATCATTGGGTTGAGACAAGAATTAAAATAAAACAGATTCAATAAAAAGGCCATAGACGAAGAATTGAGAAGAGAACTCTGACCAATAAGTGTCACACAGTAATATGGACAAAGGCAAAAAAGAAATGCAAGTATAACAATTCCCAGAGTCCCAGCTGCTTTTAGCTCAGATCTCCTTGCAGCGACCTTTCCTGATTGTTTTTGCTGCACAGCTGCAGTATGAGAGCGCATGGCCTGAACCTGAGACACAGCCACAACAAAAACCCTCACATACAGCAGCACAACAACTGTAATGGGAATAATGAAGGTCAGCATAAAATCTGTGATATTATTAATAAAGCTAACATCAATAACACACTCACCAAAGCAGGAATTAAACTTTCCTGGTTGTTTAAAGTTGTCCCTCAACAAGAAAATGACATAAAGGATGGAGCAAATCCAACAAAGTGAAACACAAATTTGGACTCTTTTGGGGGTGACTTTAGAGGGATAATGTAAAGGTTCACATATAGCCACATAACGATCAATTGATATGAGCACCATGTTTCCTACTGAAACAGAGGTGATAACCCCGTTTAAAACGTAATAAAGAACACACATGAGGTCACCAAGATACCAGCATCCATCCGTGACAGAAAGCTGAAAGAACATAAAAAAGCCCACCGAAAAATCTGAGAGAGCCAGAGAGAGGAGGAGGAGATTAGTTGAGGTGTGGAGCTGCCTGGATGGGAAAAGAGTAATGCAGTTAATATTATTATTATTTATTATTATTATTATTATTATTGTTAGGATACGCATGAAACTGTTGCAGACACCGCATGAGGACACTAGCAACCAATAAGCATTTGAGTAGTTAGCCAGATCTAAAAACTAATTATGTCAGAGGCTACCTGAAATGTGAAATGGAGATGATGACAAGAAGGTTAAGAGTCACAGTGAAAAAAGACATGAAGAAAAATACAAAATAAAGTAAAAGGTTTACAAAATATGGAAGTATTTTTTTCCTACAAGATGAGTTTAATAATTCTGGGGCACAGAGATCAGCTACTTCCATTGGTGCAGTAGAAGTAAATATCTTCTGAGCTTCCTTAACAAACCCACTGTCTTATAATGGATGTTCCATACATTGTATCCTAGAAACTAAGGCCCCACCTTCTGTGTCTGCCTCCAAAAGTCCATTAGTTTTTCAAGAACAGGTTAACGGAAAAAAAACATTTAATACTTTTTTTTAACGATCAGTCAATTCCAAGGGCGTCAGTTTGTTTTCAGAATTGCTGGGGACAATAACCATACACTTGAGTGGGGTTTAAAAATTGCTGGGGACAATAAAGTAGGCTAGCACAGGGGTCGGCGGCTCTGGAGCCGCATGCGGCTCTTCCATCCATCTGATGCGGCTCTCTGTGTTTGTAAAATAATGAATGGATATTTAAATAAAATGCTTCATATTTTACTGCATTAATTTTACATCTGTATGCCAATTCTAAATGTAAAGATTGTCTGCGTAAACCTGAACAGGTCCAACCCGGTCTTACTGTGAGACCGGGTTGACGGGTCACGCTTGTGCATAATCATAGGCTCTTTATGAGCTGAAGAGGATGTGAGATTCTGGGATTCTCCTCAGACGGCTCCTGGATACGTCGCCACATTGGAGACAGGAACAAGCACTATTCAGCCAAAGTTTCATCATCAGGGAACATTTTCTAAGTGACAAGTCTCTCTGAGAGACAGGGTTTGGAAAACACTCGCTTCAGTGGGAGGAACCTTCCCACATGCGCTCTGGGTGGCTCTGGGGTTAATCAAGTTTAATTGTTTCTCTTTGCAACAATCTTCACAAGAAGGCAAAACAGTTAAAGGGCAGGTTACAGATATTTCCATTTGACTGTTTATTTTGACAGATGAACTCAAGGATGTTGCTTGGTTTGAAAGAATTACCCCGACGCACACTGATGCGCATGGATGAGCTGACATTTTAATCGTTAACGCACATTGCGGAGGTAAAATATTCCCATCAGAACATCAGAGCTTTATACTGGACACTGTGTTCAGCGTGGCTCGGAGCACCCACGGTGGACAGTGAGCTGAAGATCTGATGGGTTTGCAGCGCAGAACCACGGTGCATGCGATGATTTCCTCCCACTGAAGCGGTCTGGAAACCCGGTCTCTCTGAGGGATGTGTCACTTGGAAAAATTTTCTTTTTATGAAATTATGAAACTGGCTGAACAGCGCTTGTTCCCGTCTCTAATATGGAGACGCATGACGCATAGAGACATTTGATCACGCACAAAGTTTATGTGGAGCAGAAGCGGTCGGGCCACGGCAGGTGAAATGTTCCTAGCCTACATGAAGGGAAACTGTTTAATTGTAACGTTAATATGTTACTGGACACACTGGTCTGGTTGGTTAGACCAGTGTTTGAAGTGGAAAACACACACACACACACACACACCAATTAAAATAATGCTGATAGCGTGGACTAGAAGACAGGTGATGGTTTACGTATTTAAATGATGATCAGGCTGCTGTAAAATGTAATCTCCATCCACATCCAGACACAATTATCCTCTATTCTTTCTCTAGTTGCTCTGCTCTTGTCTGGGCTGACGTAGCTGATGGTGCGCGCGGCGCGCCTAACTAGCGGCTGATGCACATTTTACGCATTTGGAGAGGTGGGCTGGATGCTTTGCTTTTACTGGAAGATGGTCCACTTAACGCACGGGTGTAGACTACATATTAATGACAAATGAATGAAAATTAAATTGTGAGTTTTTACTTCATATTTTATAAATAAAAATGACGGGGGAAAACATTTATGACGTCTTTTTAAACAAAATTTTCTAGCGCGACCTGCCTGCTTCACTTAAGTCTCTGCTTATTAAGGTCCGTCCTGAATTACTGTGGGAAACGGACAATAATGGCTCTTTGATGGGAATAGGTTGCCGACCCCTGGTATAAGATCTGAGCTGGTAAAACAAAAATCCTCATCAGCAGGCGTTTTTGAAAGTGGGGGGGACACAGCTGCCAATCACAAATTTTGCCGGGGACATGTTCCCGGCGTCCCCGGTTAAAATGACGCCTATGGTCATGTCAATTCAATTCAATTTTATTTATATAGCGCCAAATCACGACAAGAGTCGTCTCAAGGCACTTCACATAATAAACATTCCAATTCAGGTCAGTTCATTAAGCCAATCAGAAATAATGCTTCCTATATAAGGAACCCAGCAAATTGCATCAAGTTACTGACAAGTGTCAAGGACTATACAGCAATCCTCATACTAAGCAAGCATAAAGCAACAGTAGAGAGGAAAACTCCCTTTTAACAGGAAGAAACCTCCAGAGAATCCTGGCTCAGTATAAGCAGCCATCCACCACAACTCACTGGGGATCGAGAAGACAGAGCAGGCACACACACACACACACACACACACACACACACACACACACACACACAAACACGTACACACACACACACACACACACGCACACACACACGCACGCACGCACGCACACACACACACACACACACACACAAAGACAAGTAATGTGTCTATAGTTATATTGTGATTTCTTAGTAAATATTGTATTTGGTGAGAGATAAACTTTATTGTATTTATCCTAGTGAATCTATAATTAAACGGATAAACTAGTAGTAGCACATCCAACGTCAAGGAAAGTAAAAAGTTATTATCAGGAGAGGGAGAATATTTATGTGGTTAGCAGCAGTGTGCTAGACTATAGCCCCCTCCATGAGGCCACCACAGCTCAGCAGAACGTCGTTGTAGCTTCTTCTGGGGAGAGTAGCTTCTCTGAGTTTAACATGCAGACTGAATGTGAACATGGAGGGCTGTCCTCTCACCTGCTGCAAAGCTTAAAAAGCAACTGTAAGCACTTTCAAACAGACTTGAATCTGCACCGAAGGGCCTTGAGTGTTTGTTAGTGCTTGTTTTTGTCTTCTTAAACAGACAATCCCAGTTCATCAGGCTTCCTGTCACTAATGTCATCATTTGATCTAAAACTAGTACAAAGTCCTCCAACTCACAAAACTGGAAAAGCACTTGACCTCATTTTCACCAGAAACTGTGCCATAGACACAATCTCTGTCACACTGCTGCATCCTTCCGATCATTACTTCATCCATTTCAGCACGACTCTACAAGGGAGGTCCACTGCTTCCTCCCCAGTGGTCTCATTCCGCCGCAACCTCCGCAATCTGGCACCCAACCACTTCTCCTCTCTTGTTGCCTCCACTCTTCCATCTCTCAGCACTTTCTCTGCTTATGAAGTGAATGATGCCACTGTAGCGTCCAGCAATGGTCAGTTTAGGTACAGCTGACCTTCCACCATCTATTCAACATCTGGTCAGAAAGGAGACACAGTGTTACTTGTGTTCCTTTAAACAACGTCTACCGTCACACCAGCTGGGAGTCAGACTACACTTGTCTGATCCAAAATAATAACTAACTTTTGCCCCCAAGGTCTCATCTGCACCTCCAGAAGAAAGAAGACCAGCTCAAATAAGTAGCTAAACTCGAGAATATTATAATAAATCATTAATAACTCCTTTTATTATTTTAATCTATTAAATCATAAAATAAACAATTGCTTATTATTACTTTCGGGAAAAACATAATGAAATGAAATGATTCATTAATAAATCACTGAGTGGATGTTATGTTTATCTAATAGACTGTGTTCACCATGTTTTGATGACAAGGTCTTCACACCTGCTCACACTGCGCAAAAACCATAACAAGTACGGCTCATTTCACATAGCTAGACCTATCACCCAGATCAGAGTCTCCCCATAAAGAAGGTGTGTTTCTGTTGCCTTGGTAACCTCTACGTTCAAGTCAGCTTCTAACTGGCTGACCAAACCATAACAAATAACTTATAAAACTAAAGCAGACTGGGAGATCTTCAGTTCGGCACAGTCCTGGAGAGTACTGGAAAGTCCTGGAGATATCTCAGATTGGCCACCTGTTGCAAATACTCCATAAACATCCCAGATTTTTACACGTTGAGAAAGAACCTTTTTGCATCCACAAAACTGATGAGAAAAACTTCCTGCAGAACAAAGCTGAACTGTTCACTCCTTAGGAGTTATTCCTGACGCAAGCTGGTTCCATCCTGTACTGCCTGATCGACATCTTTTGGACCACGGAAAGTCGCTACGTTGTGGTCTCCTGGACCTGGGTGCTCAAGGTCATCCAACCTCCTTCGACCTCCAGATCCTGACAAAGGTCTTCAAAAGGGCAGGTAGAACACACAGAGAGATCGCATCTGGATGCATTTTAATGATAATGGCTTCATAAGCTTAACGCACTCCAAATTCATTTCATCAGAACTCAGCTTAATTGATAAGGAAGCTCTGATCCATATCACATCTACACCTTGGTTACTTCAGCATCTTAGCTCCACTCATTCACCTTAAATGTTTAATTCAGTAGTCATGTTTTAAATGAATTGTAAAATAAATTCTTACTTTTACAAAACTTGACTCTTTCTTGAAGTAACACGAAGCTTGGTTGATCACTGAAAAAGCAAAGAACCTAGATCTTCTGAATTAAATTCTAGAATCTTCTGAATAATTACAATAAAGACCTCGCAGGTTAATATTTTATATTTATATGGAATATTACATCTTCGTGGTCATAACAGATTAAAATCATCAATTTGTAAAACGCTACACCACCGAGTCACCCTGCTCCACACTCTGCTGTTCTCTTAAAGGAGCATTGTGGAAGTTTGACAGCCAAAACATGTATAGAAATAATAAATGTCTTCTTCATACATTCTCCTGCAATGCCCTGGTCCTGTAGAATGAGCCCTGGCATTTTTACTGTGATTGCCTGTTTTTCTGTAAAATCACAGAAAAAGAGAGTTGCTCGGGTCGAGCAGGCTGCTTCATGCGCGTTCACGCTCAGGCATAGCCCGTAGCATTTGCTATCCGTAGCTTTAGCAGCAGAGAGTGAGGTAGTGCCAACTCAGCGACTTTGTCGCTGTTTCTAATGCCTAGTGATGAACCTAGCTACATTTCTGAGGACCCTTAGCTACTTTCTGTAGAACTTTCTTTTAGATACGTCCTGCAAA